AAAATCTAATATCTCGAGAACGAGAACAGCTAGCGAAACAAATTTAATAGCATTTTAATGCTTTTGTGTTGGAGAAGTCAGAAAAAATAATTTCGTTGGATAAAAAAAATTACCTCGACCCGTCAAACAACCTTTAAATATAGGGGGCTGAAATTTTCTCCTTTTTGACCTGAAAACTGTATAGATACTGCATACGGTCCTTGCGACCATGGAAATGGATTCCGTGACGCAAGAAGAGCAAAAATATGTGTTTAAAACTTTTTAAGACGTTCACTGCATACTATTTTCAGGTCAAAAAGGAAGAAAATTGAAAACCCCCTACATTTGAAGGTTGTTTGAAGGTCGAGTTAATATTTTTATGCAACGAAATTATTCTTCCTAAATTTTCTATCTGCAAACGTTTATCTAATGTGCTGTTAAATTTATTTCGCTAACTGTTTCCGTTGTTGAGATACTAAATTTTGTCGCCAAAAATCTTCAACTTCCACACTGTGTGGCGCTGAGCAAATTTTTGAAATTGGTTGAATTTTCACGAATTTCGCATTTATTGACAAATTTTACATTGCAAAATTACTTGATTTCAGCATGATTTGTTTATGAATTACGAATGAGCCGTAAATTACGATAATGTGAAAATGCTTTAAAAAAAAACGTTTTCTGTTCAAAATTTTCAAATCGCTAAAATGGAAAGCCCGAAAATTACGCTATTTGAAAAAATCATGTTACTTTTTTCTTTCTATACCTAGTCAATTTAACCTTATTTGACAAGTTGACCCCAGTTACTCTGTTCACAGACAAATAGTTCATTTCCACCAAGCATTAACTGCAGTTTATGCCTATTGAAAAGAGGAGATTATAACTTGAAGGGCTAAATTGCTCATGTAAAAAGGCAAGACGTAAGAAATAAACCCTGCCGATGACCCCATGTGAAAATCCATGCAACTTACCTGACCTCTTAACTCGAGTTAAGCTTTTGCTGGAAATAGGCTGTAAGGATATTTTTACTAACGCCAGCAGCAGTCAAACAAGTCTAGACTTCCATTTGACTCAAATGCCGGCACTAGACGAAATAATATATCTAATATCAGATATGTCCAGCATCAGGTTAGATCAATTAGTTGGCATTTATTAAGTCAGTGACTGCCTAAGCTCTATTTGGGCAACTTTAGTAGGGATTTGCGATTGCTGATCTGCAATCTCTGTATGCAGGAATGTATTTTCAAAAGCTGAATGGCTATTTACATCCTGTTGTGCAAATCAGGTGCTGCTTGGTTGGTCATTTGGTAATACCAACGCACAGGAAACACGAGTCGCCTTGGCGTGCATTTTTAATGACAGTTGTTCGCATTTATTGCACTAATTTACAACCCGAAATAATTTAATTGCCAAACAACAGCAAGGCGCAGATTTCGAAAGCTATTATTTTTGGTGTTCGACGCTATCAGCAACATCAAAAGATGGCGTACAGACTGGCTTTTCCGATGGGCAAGGTAACAACAAGCAGCGCAATAAACTTACATATACATAAATATGTACATACATATATGTATGTATGTTTGTATGTATGCAACGGCGACCGGAAAGCAATAATTGCCTATTGTGCGTCCATAGCAAAGCAATTAAATTGAGAATTGCAAATGGAATTGCGCAGCAATAGGATGCAACAACAACAAATGCGGCGGCCGAAAAAACCAATAAAAATGTGAAACTTTAAAGATGGCCGAGCCAATGGCGGCCGTGTGTGAGTATTTTCCGTTTTTGCTTTGCCTTTGCCTTTGCTATGAATTGCACAAAAAGAGCCATCCATACGAATTGCGAAATCCACTTGAACATTTAAGCAAATCGATGGATCGGCGGCGATGGAGCAGCGATCGTTGGCGATAGAGAAATAAAAGTCCAAAGCATTGGAGGCGATACGTTGGTAAATGCGTACATAAAAATGTTTGTATGTCCGATTGCTGCTGTTGTTGTTTCGCTTTTTGCTTTTAATTGTTGCTCTTGGTGGTGTGCGCAATTTAAATGTCGTTACTTCTACGAATTTCCAATTTTACGGTAATAAAATTCAAAGATTTATAGTCTCGGCTGCTAGCGGTTGGCGTTTATTTGAGGGCGATTACTGGGTACTGGTGGGCCGTAGTATGAACAATTCAAACGGCAAGCAACCAACTCAAACAAAAAAAAGCAAACTCAACGAGCAATGAAATGTGAGCAATAATCACTGAAAAATAACAATGAATTTTATGGTTTTTCGAACATTCGTTCGCATTTTCTGCGCTCAACACAATGGAGAAGAAGGTCAATCCGCCATTGCCAATTGTTTAATTGCCAGCCAGTCAGCGAACGAATGCCGCTTGATCGGATTTCAGTGCAGCAAATTTTCCAGGTACCTAAATCATATTTTTGCTTTTAAAATTTAGAGCTGCGTGAAGGAAAACCACAAATCACTAAATAGTAGACTTTATAATTTCCAACCAAAAAATCAGCGCAATAGAAAGTCATTGATTTATCTTGGCCGACCGACACGAGTGAGCGAAGGAAACAGAATTTCCGATAGTCTTTCTGTACTATTTCGCTTGCCTCTCCATTTCCTTGCTAGTCAGTGGAGGCCATTGGCATAAAATCATTTTGAATTTAACAACCAAAAATTTTCAAAAAAAATAAAATAAAAAAAACCCCAACAGCAGTGACTCGCATTTGGGTAGCTATAAATGTGCGGGTGTGTGTGGCTGTGTGTGTGTGTGATGAAAGGCACGCCACCAAATGCGAATGCCGGTGTTGGATGTTGTTGTTGGTGTGCTGTTTAATGGGGCCACGGCAAGCGGCGTCTGTTTCGTCTCAATCGGCGATCGTTGTCGTCATCAGCAGCCTCAGCAGCCTCCTCAGCCTCAGCCCCAGCCGCTGCCACTGCTGCTGTTGGCTCACATGCTCTTACTCAACTTGCTACATACTCAAATAAGTAGATATGTACACCAGTCATCAACCACAGCGATGGCGACTGGCGACTGGCGACTGGTATGTACATACATACTTGCTGTTGTTGCTTTGTGACAGCATTTAGTGAAAAATGCCGCCGAGTTTTCTTGCTTTTTTCCTCTGTTGTTACCCCTTATAATTTTAAAAATAGCGACAGCACCAATGACTACTATCGCACGATCCAAATTTACACTGCGGCCCAATGTGTGCTTTTCACAAACAAAAAAAAAAAATGTCGGCATGGCATATTCGATCGTTTCCTCAATTCCGCCATTGGTGCCTCAAGTGCTCGAGTCCACAATGAAAATACGCATTCACTGCTCCATTGCGTGGCCGCCCTTTTCTGTCGCGCATTGGTTGTCGTTGAAGCGGAACTCGCTATGACGCTGAGCAACACTTGGCGTCCGATGCCAAAATGGGGGACACCATTATGTATTCAAGAATATTCATGCACATACATAAGTATACATACACGCATACATATGTACATATATGTAATATATAAATTTCCATCAAAGAGAAACGGTAGCGAATTAAATGTATAGGGTGTGGTTCTGGCGGTACTATGTATGTATGTATGTAGAAGCTAATTTTGTCAGATGTCACATCTGCGCATGTATTAAGGTGCCCCCATAAAAAAAAATAAATTTTTCCAAGGAAATTGGTTTAGCTTATCACCGAACCAAAAACGCTCCTTATCAGAATGGCGGAGGAGCTACAGAAAAGCTCTGTCCAAACCTCATCTCCAATCAATTTGTACACCGGAGATCGTCCAAACACTTGCTTCTTTTGCAGGTGTCAGAATAGCGCTAACGGTTCTCATTCGATTCCTGATATACCTGACAGTTCCCTGTATGTGTAGCTCAAGTTCCCAACTACATATTTCAGAACTATCTCTGAACCGCTGCAAAACGGCTGCAGAGCGGCACAGTTGAAACTTCCGGTGTAAGTGTACAAATTCTCACTTCTCGTACAATACGAAAGTAGCTCAGCGAGAAGGCCTCCGACTCAAGCATCATTGGTCGCGAGTTCAAATCGCGGTGGAGGCAGTTTTCAGATGTAATGAATTTAAGTTGTTGTGTGCCGCTTAAAATCATTTTTTTTTTATAAAATATGGAACAAACATGGAATCTGTAAAAGAAAAGAAAAAACGGAAAACGTTTTCTTATACAAAAAAAAAAACTGTCTAAAACGGAACCGGTTAAAAACTAGTTGCAAAGTATTGCACTAAGTAGGCGACAATTGCCACCGCCAATGACATCGGCGTGTAAAACTGGACAGTTGAAAGCATTGCTTAGGTATTGAGCTAGAACTACTACTATCGGCAAAAGGTCTAGTTCTGCGCTAGTAATATACATACATACATGCCTATTCTGGTCCGACACCAAGATCATTTTCATGCCATGTCTGTAATATTTTAGATAACATGGACTGGGTTCTTCTTATGCATGTTTCATTCATTCCATTGAGCTAGAACCGCAGAGCACATGGAGAAAAAGTGGCGTCTACAACATCAACAAAGACTCCCCTTGTACATTTTTTAGCTTCTAGCACCTCTTCAATCTTTGTTACAAGTTTGTGTAGAGGTAATCACCCTCTGGCATGCATTTTGGTGAGTATTAAGTACCGTTGAACTAATATATTTTTTACCATGCACTCCACTCAAGTAGCACACCGGTGTATAAATTGGTGTAAATTTGTGAATTTGGATACAATTATTCAGATGTATACCAAAAATCGTAAATTTGCACCAAGTTATACACCAGTGTGCTACATGAGCAGGCTCTTCAGGCTGTGGCTCAGGCCTTTTTACTAGCGCGTAAAAAATCGTTCCCTTTTTTCAGCGTAGACTGCCCTAACTTTTTCACAAAGAGTGGGAATATAGCCAAATGCCAGGCCTGCCTCTCTTATTGGAGCCCTTATAAGCTCTTTCCCACATTTCAGCATAATCGTATACGCGCCAAACGGACCAAGCGACTTAAAGCCATTTAATAGTGTAGAGAAAACCTTAGATACAAAAATTTTAATTTTATTATTCAAACTTTTTAACGCAAATTTTGTTAATAAAAACTCATTTTTTTTGTGAATCGAAAAATTTTCGGTTGGAAACTGAGCAACCATCATCAGCCAGCGCACAATGGTTCAAAATTGGCATTTTCTGTACACAATCCACTGTCGGCCGCTGTGGTGTAGCGGTAAGCACTGCGCGGTTCCACTTCACAGCACCTGGGTTCAAGCCCTGGTCAAAGCAACATCGCAAAAAAAAATATAGAAAAAAGGTTTTTTCTTAACAGCGGTCGTCCCTCGGCAGGCAAAGGCAAACCTCCGAGCGTATTTC